CCTACTTTTTCGAAATTACCTCTTTAAAATTCATTGACCGGAGCCTCATATCCCCTACTATAGCGTGCGGGGGGGGGGGTTCTATTCCCCCCCTTCCCCCCCCCTAATCGAACTCTGCTCACCGGTTCTTCAATAAGATTCCGCAGGAAAGTCCCAAGAATTTTATAAGGACAATATAAGAATCGTATAAAAAAGTGGAAAACTGTCATAATAAAGTCATAGGAACTGTTAAGTAATTCTTATGTGTTCCTCAGGAAATTCCCACTTAAAAAATTTGTTTTTTCTAGAACTTCATAGAGTTTGTTCCGTAACCTTACTACGATCAGTCCTATATCAAAAAGTTTAGAAAGAAATAGCGGTTCGTTCACGGTTCGAACGTGAGACCTATAACTATGCTCTTACCGACTGAGCTATAACGGACTACAACTACGATAAGTTATCCCGCCATTATATTACGATAGTACAGTTTTTCGACTTACTTAAATTATAAAAAGCAATGAGGAGTGATTTCAAACTACATGAAAGTATCTGCGGTTTATTTAGTACTTTTTTGTGACAGTTCTTTAATGTAATCGATAACGTTTTGCTTGTTCTCCATCATCCTGGCTTATTCTACTATGTGTGTTGAAATAAAGAATTTATTTATCTAAAAGATAACAATTTTGCTGAAAATAGAATGACTGTTGTTTCAACATTATACCGTTGCCGGACACATTTTTTGGAAGTGTTTCACCTAGTAAAATCGAATCTTTAGCTGACTTGTTGTCGAGAATAACTCTTTTCATAAGTTTTGATTAAATGAAATACTGTATAGTACCAAATACTATCAGAATCTGGTAAGAATCCAAGAAGCTTTCCGCAAGAAATTTGTATAAAACAGATAATATGAGAATTCTTATCACTTTCTTATGGAACTCTTACAACTGTCTTATAAGAATCTTATAATGTCCTTATGGAATTAGGACTTTCCTGTGGAATCTTATTTAAGAAACGGGTAAGAATCTTATAGCTTAGCCGTGCTTTTATAGTATAGAGCGATGAAAACTGAGCCAAAAAAATATCTGAAACTTCTGTAATTTTGGATTTTCGGGAGAAAATCATGAGAAAAAAATCATAATAAGTCAAGCAAATGCACTTAAAATGGTTTCGTACCGTACATTTTCTTCTGCGAAATCTAAAGGGGTTTAGAAATAGTTGCACTTCTCTATATCCGTTTAGGTTTGTTTTGTTAGAGAGCAGAGCGCATCAAAAAGTCGAGCATAATTGTCAAAAGAGCTTTGATTTTCTTTTTTCGTTGTGAGCGGAAATAGGTGAAAAGATTTTGTAATTATGAGTGGACAGGCCCCTCTCTGATGAAAAAATGATTTTTCAAAAATTTTAAAAGCACCTTCGAGTAAAAGCACCTTCTTTTAGATGAAGTACAAAATGTTGCAAGGTAATATTATCCCTACATTACTAGCGCATGATGAAATTATAATGACATATAGTCATAGTTATAACCAATACCATATTGTCCAAAGAACTTAAACTACATAGGACTCGAGTTTTTGTTTAAGATATCAACCACTTAAAATAGAACTTACACTAATACAAATATGGGAAGGCCTTCGCTGTTCTCTTCCCGTCGTGAAGTTCTTTCATAGAGTTTTCGTTCTAACATGTAAATAATTCCAATACAGAAATAGTTTCACACACTTGTGTTTGGTGGAAGCTTTATTTTGATTGGTTGAAATCGGAAAGAAAATCAGGAGTCCGATATGGTTAGTTTTTTGCAATCTAACCGACCATATTCGCTAGTTCCAGAGTATACATTGGCAGCCAACGTGTTAATGTTGATGATGATGATTGAACGCGTGAATAGATTGACAAATATAGATGACAAAAAGAGAAACTGTTACAAAAGTCAAATATACTCGTTGAATGATCAACACTCAATGCTCTCCCATTTATATATAGTGACCATCGATATACATGAGAAATAGTCATTAACTGAAGAAAATATTGATTGTGCCTCATTCACCTATTTAGCAGCACTATTCAATTCTGCTGGTATTTTGATAGAGACAAAAATGACATCAGTGTTGATAAGAGACCACCAAGAATTTCCTCTACATCTATTTATAGTATTTCGATCATTATCAACCAACTTCAGAACAAAATCAAAACATTTTCAGTTTTCTATGCAAAAAAATGTTTCTACGTTTTCTGATCTCTTGCAGCAGAAGTTGCAGACATATTGGATCATCTTTGTTTCTGTATTTATTCTCGAATTGTCTCATTGTTTTACAGGATGCTAATTATTTCATGGAAAAGTTTGTTAACAACTATAAAAATATAATCTACGTTTAACAGAAACAAAAAATGAAGTGCATTGTTTTTCGTAAAAATAACTTTTTCACGGAACAATCAGAAAATTATCTAGAGAACAGGAAAAAAAGCCTGTCGCGTACATCTCTAATACTGATATATATAAGCTGGTTAGATTTTAACATTCCATTCACTGTTTTTACACGGTAGTCGCAGTCAGTCAACAGTTTTGATTGTTTATATTGGCAAAAAAACACAAAAATTGACTAGAACGATACTCGTAAACGATAGACGTATTATTCAAAATTTTTAACAAAAACCGTATTGCAGGATACACGATACGATTATAAAATTGAAAAGCTATATGAATGAATGTCTCTTTACACGATAGTTACAACAGATGTAGTTATTTTTTAACGTCTAAATTTAGATTGGTCCTAGCGATTATAACTCAAAGAACAAATAATTAGCTTTGTGCTATAGGTAAATTCACTTTTTCTTCTAATACCATTTATATCTTCGAGCCTTTGACAGATGGTTTCTGAGATGAATTTGAGATAAACAATTTCTATTGATTGACTAATAATCTGATTCGTCTATAACATCTAACTTTTTATCTCTTTCTTCCAGTAATGTATTATTACCTTCAATTGGTGTTCGCAAACGTTCTATATTAAGAAGTAATTGTCCGATTGTTGTATGATGTAACTCATTTTCATTTTTCAATTGTTGTTCAGATGGCTGATTAAACAGTATAACATTTGATTCATCTGTCATAATGTGTGACTGTGTTGGTATCAAAAGTAGATTTTGAATTGTTAAATTTTCGTTTGGTTCCATTGATGGTGTACGTAGACGTTGCAGTGCTAGTTCTAAATCTGACAATGCTGCTTTGACATGTGCTTTAAATTTTCGTTTTTTCAATGTAAAAACAAATTGTGAAAATGCCAAAATCATAAATACTAACAAATATAATGTTAAAAATAGAAAATAAGATCGTTGACTACGAAATGTTAAACAATTGATTGTGACTATTGAATCATTATTGACAAATTGTTCACTGCATACGATTGCGCATACATTATAAAAACCGACGGCTAAATGTATCAGTTCCACGGAATTTCTCCAAAATGTAAAATTTTGTGCGGGCATGTAATGGGTCAGTTCGCGATTTCGAGTAATTGTAAACTGGTATTGTTGACAATTGCGAAAATGTAAGTAAGATTGATCGATTTCAAATTGAACCGATGCTGAATATGAGTTATATAAACGAGCACGCATATGGAATGGTTCATTGACAGATATCTCTTTTTCAGCCACTATTAAATAAACTAAAATAATTACTACAAGTAATTTGAATAACATCATGAATCTCTGAAAAATAAGATTATAACTTTTACAAACATAATCGTACCAAGTTGAAATATCACGTGAAAATGTTTTGAGAACGAAACTTTCACAAAATAATTAGTACATGTTTGAAGATAGTATAGATATGAGAGGATATTTTTTCTAGTTTAGCTGAAGTCTTGCGAGAGTATTATGAGTATTCCATGAAACGGTTTGGTCACATAACTCTATTATCGGAATGAAATTCCGTTACGTTTACTTGCTATATAAGAGAAGCCTTCGGCTCGGATCATACGAGACAGGCTTCTAGTGTAACCACTTGGTTTAAATTATATTATTTATCAAAAGATAAGCTTCTCGACACTCTCTGCTAAATCGGCTCGTCATTGTATAGCAAGAAGTGCAAGTCCACGATGTCGTACGTTACCAGTAACAATCAGAATGACAATTAAAAATAGAAGTAGAAACAATGAGTAAACAGTGAACTAAAAGAAAGTAAACAATAAAAAATAAAAAAATGTTTATAGATGGTGACAAAAGTTTAAATCCTTTTTAGGTTCAGTAGAGTACCTGTTTTTTAAAGAGTAGGCTGTCTACTCTTCATCACCATTCGGGTGGCTCTCTCACTCATTTCAAGGTCCACCTTACTTTTGAGTTTTCTCCTATTACTCTGAGTCGGCAGCAATTCCTTAGGGTTAGAGACTATTTCACTCCTAAGTACCTCCTCGTCATAGGAGCTAAGTAACTATACAGACACGGTTTTCAACTTGATACAATAACCAGAAAGGATGCGATCTCAGTTGATCTCGGAGGGTTTTTGAACTGAAAAGTCCTTGGTTTGTGGATAAAGGGAGAAAGAATGATTTATTCGTTGTACAGAATATAAATTCAGAACAGTAAATTTAGTATTGCAGTTAACTGCGACGCTAACTAAGTTCATGTGTTTCTATTCTTACAAAATTGATTTTGTGTTATTCGATAGTTTTAGTTTGGAATACTATAATGGAATAGTTTTTCGCTTGTATTCTGACAGAATAAGGCTTGTATCAATGATTTATTAGAGAGGTTCTACTGAACCACCGTACGGTTTAGTTGATTAATAGCTGAGGCTCTCCATTGAGTATGAAATGCTCTCTCCCAAGCATGACACAGTCTTGAAAATCTGACTACATTTTCTCCGGGTTCTGGCAGCAGGAGGGAGATCTGAGTGAGGAGCAGAGACATGCATCACAACTAACTTCGACGTAGCTTCCTAAATGCGACCGAAATTTAAGCCAATTAGTATAAAAGGGGTCGCTTTTTGGAACGAGTAAATTTATATTATTCTGCGCTTCCAGACAGCGGCCACTTTTTAATTAAGGAGTAATAAAAAAATCGTAATTTGAAATATAGATATATAAATTAGTTGCTTTCTAGAAACAACAGAAGTAGAAAGATATATAATAAGAATTGGTAACTATATTAATTATTATATGAAACTAATAATTGATGAACGCTGATTCAAAATTTGATAAATTAACAGATTATACTTTAAATAATTATATTGAAGATGCTCATTTTTCATTTCATATGTGGAATCATTTTCATTCAATTGGTGAAAGATCGCGTACAAATAATCACTTAGAAGGTTATCATAGACAACTAAATGCATGCGTGCGAACGAATCCGGATCTCTGGACATGGATTAACGAAGTTCGTTCATCTAAAGAATCTGTTATGAGTCTTTATGAACAAGAACAAGCTCAAAAACGTACAACAAGACCAAGAAAAATAAAAAACATACATGATGATGAGAAGTTTAAATTAGCAAAAACAAAATATATCGAAGATAAAGATTTTGATAGTTATCAAAAAGTTTTAAGAGCTCTTTCTCATTGGTATACAGACGTTATAAAAGATGCCGCAGATAGTGGTGACGGAGACTAAATTCTTCATGATATAGTTTTTTTTATTATAACTGCGTATATACAATATTTAAATATATCGTCATCAATTCTTATTATATATCTGTCTACTTCTATTGCTTCTAGAAAGCGACTAATTTATATGTTTATATTTCGAATTACGATTTTTTGATTACTCCTTAATTAAAAAGTAGCCGCTTTTTGGAAAGGATAAAATAATAAATGAGCTCGGTAAATAATTTATGAAAATTAATTGATGGTTTTGTCAGTAGCAAAGTACACCTAGTAAGAAAAAAATAATTCAAGAAGAAAATAAATGCTAGTTTACAATAGTTCTTTTAGCAATAATATTCAGTCTTTTCTTAAAGCTAATTTAACATTCTTTGGACGATCTTTTCTCCGTCTTATCCCAAGTGGTTGTGGAACTTTACGATGATCTCACATCGTATTTTGAAGACTAGTGGTTATTATTATAACATTTTTAGTATAGATCTAGTGCAAATCTTAGTCCATCTACCGATTTGTCTCGTTTAATTCCATTATTTTGTTCTTCTAATTATGGCTCTAAAGAATATTCTTGCGTTCATTCATCAGGCTTAATGATGATGTGGGGTCATCCTAAAGTTCCACAGCCACCTGGGATACGACGGAGAAAAGATCGTTCAAAGAAAGTTAAATTAGCTTTAACAAAAGACTGAATATTACTAAAAGAACTATTGTAAACTAGCATTTATTTTCTTCTTGAATTATTTTTTTCTTCCTAGGTATACTTTGCTACTGACAAAACCATTAATTAATTTTCATAAATAATTTACCCAGCTCATTTCTCTCTTTTTACCGTCAGAAATAAAATTAACCGAGCTCATTTGTATCTTTTCCGAGAATAAATTAATTTCTGAGCTCAAAACTCTCATTTATATAAATAAAATATAATTTTCTTACAACCCAACTCATTTCTCTCATTTAAAGCCAATTAAGCACACCGAGATCAAATATCCCTTTTTTCCGACCTCATTTAATTTCGAGTTCTTTTGGAAAGGCAGAATAATACAAACACAAATCAGTCGTTAACTGTCTCTTAGCATGCTGTTTTAGAACAGGTAAAATATCAGAAAAAACAAGTATTTCATAATTTGCCAACAAATCATTCACCCTCTTCTTTCGCCATTATGAATAATATAAATAAAACGCTGATTCCTGATTCTATTGAGAAAACTTAGAATTTTTCCTCCTTCGATTATACAAGTCATCGAAACTTGCCGCGAGGAAGTAGCCTCCAGTTCTGGCACTAATAGCAGCAATGGCACCACGCTCCTAAGGAGACAAGAATATTGAAATTTGTCAATTCTCTCTTTGTGAAGTTACTAGCTAGAAAATGCTCAAACAATAGATTCTTAACGGTCCATAATAGTGCAATAACGGTCTTAAAACAAAACATCATAAAATGTCCATTTTTTGGTCGTAATAAAACCGGCACTTGTAAGCATTAAAACGTTCCAGTTCAAATGCATAAAACCGGTCAAAACATTGTGTCAATGACTTAATAAACCCATGTATAAGCTCAGAAGTGTTTGTTAGGTCATACTTGTTATGGCTTACAGAAAAATAGTCTTGAAACCTATTAATCTCTTACCCGGTTTCTTCTTTGATTCCTACTGTTTAACGATCTCATTTTTACTACCTAACATCCTGTCTTCGTATGGAACATTAGAAAACAGATTATTAGTTTCATATTTTTCTAACGCACAAAAAGGATAAAAGACAAAATGAGCATGGAACAGAGAGATAGCAAATATGTCTAATATACCATAATTTATTGCGAGAAATAGAGGACTTTCTTTTCTTACTATTTGAGACTCTCATATTATCTACTTATTTTATTTTCCTCTTGTTTATCTTCTTCTAGAGAA